GAATGTTTTTAGCGATCTAATTTCATCTATAAATAATAGCAGTTCTATTTCTGATTGTGCTGTTCTTCGTTAAGTTGGCCCAGTGAAATGATGCGAACAGTTAAACTATGGTTCTTTTTTTTCTAAGTTGTATAGCATCAGTAACAGCTTTCGAACATACTTTTATCCTTCTCCTTCATCTCCTTCCATCAGTGACCTTTATTCTGGAAAGAACTGTGTGTATCACATTCCGCAGTCTCTGAGACCAGCTGATAACAGTTATAGAATGGTGTGCTGATGGATTCTTTTGTGTGTTTCATTTCAAGATATCGACATCCTCTTTGTTTTAACCTAGCTGGTGAGAAACCACAGGAGGAGACTAGCAGAGGAAGCTGTTTTTACCATTGATTTTCTTGTGCCTTTTGGTGCATCATTAATTCATCTAACAATTCCTTCTTAGGAAGCTGCCTGGGTGTGACCGTTACTAGCCAGCAGAATAGGGGCTGTCATGGCTGGCTGAAGCCATAGCTGACAAATGACAACTTTACCTTCTGAGTTCTTCTATCTATGAGTTATTCACTTAGTATGGAAGCAATACTGAGCTCCCTACAAATAGCAAAATACCTTCGTTTTGGATGTGACATTCTTCCGCAGTATGTTAGATGCCAGAAGAGTAAAAGCCAGCTGTTTCACAGGCGAGACGAGGAGTTAGACAAATAGAATGTTGCAAAAATTAGCCCTCTACGTGAATTGTTCATATAGAAACAGTATGTTCAGTTTTGTTTCACTGCTATTGCATTTATGTCCCTAGCAGCTCTGTTAGAATTCAAAACTTTCTAGTTCTGTATGCCATGACTGTTAGAAAGCTCCAGGCCAGAGTGAGGCTCTTACTGATTTCAAAACCTCTATGGATGTCCCATTTTAATGTGAGCTAGAAAGGGTGTGTGTTGGAAGGCCGCGGGCAAGTCATTGTTGTGTAGAATTTGAGTAGGGTGGTACTGAAAAGAGAACAGTAATTGTAAAGCTATTTCTGGCACTGTTTTACTTATTTCTGAGTCTCTTTTGCCCTTACAATTTCTGAGAAAGATAGCTGTGATAGTAAGCTTGTAAGAAAAAGTTGCTCATTTTATTTCAGAAGTAACTGTATCATTAAAAAAATCTGCATGTAGTTACTTTTTTGTAGAGTTTGGATTTTTTGTTTTGTTTTCACAACATAGGTGAAGATCACAGTGGAACTTGTAGGACACCATATCATTTTCCAGCTGGCTATATTGAGGCTGTTTAGAGCCATGGAATACAATTGGTAGTCTGTAGTTTGCAAAAGGAAAAAAAATTTGTGCACTATCTGTGACCCATATTTCTTTTACGTTATCTTTTAAATCAAACAATATGTGTAGTCTGTTTGTCTTAGAGATACTAAGAGGTTATAATATGCAATCATTGATTCTAATATTGATCTTACAGAGAACTATTTTCTTTAAATACAGATAAATGTTATTTGCATATTTGCCTGACTTCTGTCGTCTAAGTTATAGTCTCTCATGCCTGATCTGATTTAATTTGTTCTGACTGTTAAAGGTTTTCAAAATAGAAAAATGCAGGTGTTATGAAGAAATCCATGAAATTTACTTTATTGATGGAGCATATCTCTTTTTCCTGGATAAATGAGAGAAGAACAGTCAATAGCTGAAGCCTGTTAGTAATTTTTTTGACTTAGTCAATTTGTCTGGTTGTTCAACCTTCTACAAGATTTATGTCAATTTAGTATACTGTGTCTGCTTAAAAAAAAATAAATCATGCTATTTACCCCTGTTTCATCCTGAGAGCAGTTTGACTGGACTCCATCAAGTTGTTCTTGCTTTTGCTCTGCATTGTGTCTCTTCCCAGGTATGGAAAAGGGGGTTTGGTAGGGTGCTGTGTGCTTGTCGATAGCATGTCGTCATCCCCGAGCAGCCCAAATAGCTTTGCCTAAGATGTTCCCTATCCAGTAGAGTTAATTGCCAAACTGTAATTTTTCAGCAGCTGGTGTGGGCTATTTTGCTTGCCTGCATGGAACTGGTTTAACCATCGAGAAGTTTTCTCCAGCTGCTGGCAGAAATCGTGAAATAGTTGTAATCAGTAGGTCTCTAATAGATTGAGGCTCCCTCTGGGGAGGATGTTGCCAAGTGTTTCACAGCTAGAACCAGCTCTTTGTTCACTCTTTCAAAGCCCAGAGGGGTGTGAGGCCTCATGTCAGGGAGTGAAAGGAGAAATGTCTTCCTAAAGAAGTTTCAGAATCAGCATTTTAGTATTAAGGGCTCCTGAACATGGGGTTGTTATAAAAGTGGTTGCATTTATATGTAGCTTTTCAGTATAGAAATAAAAAGTAAATGGCAGCTTTTGCTAAAGCCGAGGGTATTTTATTTTCTGAATATCAGCAAATCAGGAAATAGAAAAAGAAAAGCACAAATTCACTTTACAGTTTCATCTTTTTCCTTTAACGTTTACATTTTCTGGGATTTTTTTTAAAATTGAGATTTTACAATATTGAAGATAGCAGATGCAATTCTTTTTTACTTTTTTTGTACTGTAAAATATTCACATCTGTCAGGAATATTGTAAGGGTCACTATGTTGAGTGCAGTGGGCACTTTCACTGATGGCATGTGGAACCTCATTTAGGTATTTATTGCTTGAGTTCAAGAAGCAGCTGTATTAAGCTTAAGCAGAAGAGGTTTATGGTGTATATTTGGCAAATCTGATTCCGCATAATGCATAAACATGCTACCTGTAAATGCTGCCTTAAGATGAATAGAAGTGCTCACTCACATTTTTCTTCAGTCCTCCATCAGGACTCTGCCTACAATCTTGTGTTGTCTTCTGGTATGAAAAAATGTTAATGTATTTCAAAAACTTGGAGATACCATGTTAAGGGTTAGTTATTAATGAGAACAAAAGCAGGCAATGACTATGAGATTGCTTTGTTTTGTTTTAAGGAAAAATGTATTTATCCACAACAGCTGCTTGGAGGGAAGCATCATAATAAATATTAAATCGGTACAAATGGTGCCATGCATCATTTTCTGGACAATCTGTGAGAAAGGGTAGCTGTTATAGTGACAATGAAATAAATATCAGTCTTTTTAGGGGGGGTAAGGTTGCATCAGAACTGTTTGCAGTCTGTTCTCTGTTTCTTTCCACATGAATATCTCTAGCTTTTTTCCTAAGGCATTAAAATCACACATGTTCAATGTTTGTTTTTCTTTAACCTGAGATGCAGCTGTTCCAGTTTATATTTATATTCACCACCACACCCTACCCTGCAAGCAAACCTGGCTCTTAAGGTTGGCTTATCAGGAGTTACATGTCTGTGGCTGCTGTCTTCCGTGCATGTACAACAGTCTGTTCACTGAAGTCTTTCACCTGACCTGCTTCTGTGTTGAGGAGCTGACTGTATGTGTTCAGAATGCTGTTCCTGATGGCAGCGTGCTCTCTTGGATCCAAGTAGTGAGAGGCTGTCCCTAATAACTTACATTATTGACCCACAACAGATAAATTACATTGATTCTAGGTTGTGGTTTTTTTTTTTCTTTTTCCTTCTTTTCTGTGCCTTTTTCTTTTTGGTCAAGAGACCAAAGCAATTTGATGTATTATTTGGCACCACCTCTGGTGGAAATACAGTTTCAACCAAGAAAGGAAATACATGCCTGCCATTGTTTAAAAAAAAAAAAAAATACTTCTAACCTGACTTTGGTTAACAACCATATTTTGTGCCTGCTGTATGGTAAATTATTTTAACAACATGTAAAGATTTTGTCTTAGTCTCTAAAGGAATTTAAAAAAGTATTCTGGAAAGACACAAAGCATGCATATGAGTTTATGCACATGCTTTCATTTTAAATAATGCTGTACAGACATGCACTGCAGGTGAATTCTCTATAAACAAAACCCACAATTATTTCTTTAATTAGATTGAAGAGCTGCTGCTTCATTCCTTATTAATTTATCAGTTTCCCCAGTCAGGCTTACATTTCTTTCTGACTAAACTTCTTATGCCAGATAGTTGTCACTCATTCTGGAAATGGTGAAGAGGTAAATAAACCAGCAGGTTTTTAAAATTATTTTGAGGAGGTTTGCAGATTCCAGACATGCTTAGAAAGAAATGACTCACAGCTTAAAATTCAAGGGTGTGTTTGAGGTGCTGGTCGATCCATTACTAAAAGTCAAGAGCTTTTTGCAGTCAGCGATGGTGATGTCTTCAGTTGCTTTTGTCACAGAGTCATAGAATTGTCGAGGTCGGCAGGGACCTTAAAGATCATCTAGTTCCAAGGGCAGGGACATCTTCCACTAGATCAGGCTGCTCAGATCACTTATTTTTCTCCTTTTGTTTGTTTCTGATTCTCAGACTTAACATCTCCTAGTTAAATGTACAGGTAGCTCAAGTGATCTGCCTGCTGACTGCCACAAACCAGGGAAATAATATTCTTTCATAGAGAAACCTTAAACCAGTCAGCTTCCCCGATGATGTGTTACATAAGAAGGTTAAGTTAATCCCATCTTAAACTTCATCTTTCCTTTCTCTGCTTCCAGCCCGGGGCAAGATCTATGTTCTCACTACTTGAAATGAAATGCTGAAATGGTATTGTCGTTTTGCTAATCACCAGACCGTTACCACCTATGTAATTCTAAGAGTGGGAATGAACCCTTTGCACAGGTTGCAGGGATCCACACATGACTCAGGAGTGTTGGGGGAAATGACTTCCCTGACCAGGAGATCTCCTGAAGGTGGCGGTGCAGTCAGCTGGTGTAGCTGACCATAACACAATCTGACTGAAATACAGAGACAAGTACAATTGTTGAGAAAAACCTCCAATGATGAATGTCAACCCAGTGGTGTACCTGTTGCCTGTTAGCAAGTTGTTTTGCATTTCACGATACCAGTCAGCCCAGTGTGAACTTTGATTTGAGCTAGTTACATACATAGCCCTGATGTAGACCTATTGGGTAGAATCAGGTGTTATGAATGCTTGTCTGGCAATTATCCAGGGAGCATCAGACAAAGATACGTTGCAAGCATGACATGGCTTTTTGGTGCACAAGAAATAAGTTCTCATTTCATGAGCAGTGTCAAACCAATTGTATAAAATGTCCGTTAAAAGAATACACAGTAAAGGGAGGCATCAGATTTTGTCAGAACTAGTTAAAATGTGGTCAGAATGATGCAGTGTTGGGGGGAGAGTTTGAAGCAATTAATACATACAGAAAAGTACCTAAAGACAAGTGGTCCCCAGAATTTTCTTTACATTCTTTCATTTAAGTGATCTTACCTTTCTGTCTGGTTTTCATTTGTGATTCTAGCTGTATTTCTTCTCAAATTAGGACAATGTTTGATTTCTTTATCATAAGATGCCTTTTTTTGGTGCAGTTCCTTAGAGCTTCCCACTGTATGTGTGTCTCTTTGTTTTTCAGGAAGCCATTGTATGGATTCTTTCAATATAATTCCAGTATGATTGGACTAGAATCATTAGCCGATCCCTCAGATACCTGGGAAATTATAGAAACTATTGGGAAAGGCACTTACGGTAAAGTCTATAAGGTTGCCAATAAGAAAGATGGGAGTCTGGCAGCAGTAAAGATTCTGGATCCTATCAGCGTAAGTAAAAATTAACTTCATAGTTAATTTAAAAGAATTCTCAAACAGAGACTGAAGTGTAAATCCAATGTGTAAGATCCTGAAAGTGTCCTGAAGGGAACAATTTTGCAGAATGTGTTGACAGGAGGACTTTGGTACCAGCAACTGAAAGCTGCAACTTACCCTTTCATCATCTTGTATGTTATTTGCAAGACAGCATTTGCCTAGTTTATTTTTTAGGTCTATGTAATTCTTCTTGTACAAATTTAGATACCTGTGCTTGGAGCACGCAAATGATAAGAAGGCACAGAGGTATTCTTCTTAGGGGCCTGCTGGAGCAGGGAAAGTATGAGATGCTGTTAAGATTAATGTTCTTATTTTATTCTGTGTACTCCCTGAAAGAATTCCCATCACAGGAGTACTGTGAACTTTAGGATGCGTAATAGTTATCTTTTATAAGTGACTAATACTGTGAGGCAATAGTTAAGATAAAAATGAAGAGCACAGCCTGAGTTCTCAGAGGTAGTTCTGTGCCAGCTCCCGTTTTAGTGGGTATTAAATGCCTGACCTCCCTGGAGAACTAAGGCCCTAGTTTTCAGTGGAAGATTTAATTGGCAGGTGCTCAGGTTGGATCAAGGTGGAGTTTGATCATGATAGCTGGGCTAAAATATTTATTAAAAAAAGTTGCAAAAAAAAAAAAGTTGCATTTTTGTCATCTACCACTACTGAAATCCATCTTGGTTACATAAACCTGAATAAAGTAATAAATAAGATTATATACTTTTTAGCAAAATGCAAAGAAAGAAAATGCATGAGAGTGCTTGAATTTTCTAATAACCACAGCCTATGCAGAAACAAGGAAATACTCAGTGCTTAAGCACTGTTCTGAGTTGTGGCCTGTGTGCTGATGTTAGTGTTTTGTAATTGTCATGTAATTCTTTAATTAACAAGTATTTAATAATGTTGCCTTTTGCCATGGGTTTTAATTTGTCTCTCTTGTTTCTGGTGCAAGTCTTTTCCTCATAAGAATATATTCATTTTTACTGATGTCCCCTTTAAGATTTTGTGAAATTGTTCTCTGGCCCCAGCTGATGACTAGAGGAAACAGAATGAATCAAAGGTTCATGAATTTACATTTAGTTTACTCATTTAAAATATGCATGTTTTAGAAAAAGTTAAAAAATAATACATATAAATTTCTTATTTAAACAACTGGGCAAAGTATCATTTTTACTTCTCTGGTCAAGTATATTATGCAGTGAAAGAATCCTTGAAGATCAACTGCTTGCTTTACATGAACTTCACATTCCTATGTGATAAAAAAGCAAGCACATAAATGCCATGATTTGATGTGGATTAAATTTACAATATTGTGTGTGTACTTTCAGCTGCATTGAAGTAAAACCATTTAGAAGTACAAACTAAATAAAAAATGGTTCTTTTTATACATGAGAGTTTGTTCTTGCTCTGTACGGACTTACTGTGTTTACATGTTCTGTATGTTTGTATTTTTCATTTAGGATGTAGATGAAGAGATTGAAGCAGAATACAATATTTTGCAGTTTCTTCCCAATCATCCTAATGTTGTTAGATTTTATGGGATGTTTTACAAAGCAGATCAGTATGTGGGAGGACAGCTCTGGCTAGTACTTGAGGTAAAAATGTTTTGGTAACGTTACGTCTTAACTAGCAAATATTTGTTGGGTTTCAGGGATTTTTTTATTTCTATGGGGGTCACAGGCTTTCATGATTCTCTGACTGGGGCCATTAATCAAAGGACTGGTGATAGATGATGCGTGGTAGCCTACTGTTGAAAATCACATCCAAACTTCAGGTTTGTTTAATAGGGGATATCCTTGCATTAAATTTCTGTTCAAGTTGCTACATTCTGCCTCCCAAAGAAGCAAGTCCTTTTGATAAGAAGGTTTGCCTAAAAACAGCTTGATTTTCTTCATGTTGGAAGAAACATTAGGTAAGACATTTGTATAAACTTTGGGAGAGCTCACACACTTGGGGGCAATGTGAAAGATGATGAAAGAAAGGTGGAGTGCGGGTAACAAACATGCTGCCTATTGCAAAAGTGAACAGAGAAAACGTAAGGGAAAGGTCTGCTTTATGGTAATTTAAACCAGTTGTGGTTGATGTGGAAAACCTAGCAATAGAAATGCCTTCTACTAACTCTTGCTCAGTGGCAAGCAATATTCTTGCAATGAAAAATGTATTTTGGTGTTCTTGTTGACCGTTAAGTGACTTTCAAAGATTATTGCAAGATGAGGATTTTGTTGAGGTATTTTCTAGGCTTAATTGAATCAGAGCTTTGCATAGATCAGTGAGCAGTAACAGGCCGTTAAACGTTTCTCTCTATTATGACTTGACCGGTAAAAGTTAGCATTCAGTTTTTATTTACTGATCATTTTGAAAATTCCACTCCCTATTCTGGAAAAAAGGGAATCTTTGTTTCAGTTTGAAGTTGTGGAATCCCAACAGTGCATCTGACTTCTATGTACTGCAGAATTGTGTAGCTTGAATGAAAACTTTCGGATGTGTTTCATCTTAAATTTCAGTAACTATTAAGGAAAGAGTTAAAGTGTTTTTGGTTTGGTACTAGTTTTTACTGTAAGCCTGCTGCCTTTGTGTTGAGTTTGGGCTTGGCTTCCATGTGTTTTCTTTTTTAACACAAGTGTAGTGTATGCAACAGACGCATCACGTAGTATTCCATATAACAAAACTTTGTAAAGTAAAATTGTATCTTATTCAATGTAACAGAATTGAATGTAGAATTTGAGAGACTTAGGTGTTCGTATAGACCTTTTCAAATAAGTATGTTCATTTCAAGTGTGTTTTGGTGCACATTATCCAAGGTCTTAATGAACTTGACATTAAAAAACCCCAGTGTTTTGTTTATACTGATAAATTTACCAGACATGACAAACTGTTTCTTGCCTTGGAACTTACATGCAAATTTATGTATGCGTAGCAATTACTTGTTATATTATAAATTAATGGCACTTTTTCAGTAAAAGAGAATATACAAAATACTTAGACTTTGATCACTGAGTGTTTGATGAAACATGCACATTGGATGTGTGACTTCCAAAATTTGTAGTAAAAAGCTTGATTTCTTTTTCTTTTAGGCACATGTTTACTCACTAAAAGCAGGGTAGCAAAAGTGGTCACCTTAAATATTCTTATGATGATGCAGCTCTCAAATAGATGTAGCCCAGACAGCTGTAAAGCAAGCTTCTCTAGTTTTCCATCTGAGTGTTTAAAGTATTGCCATTAGGTCTGAAGTGGTAAATGAAGTTTACAAGTTCATTTGACCCAGATCTTTACTGAAAGTCAAGAACAACATCACTGACAGCTGCCATAGTGTTTGTGAGATATTTTTCTTTCTAGAGTCTGTCATTCATTTAACATATGCTACCAAACAGCTGTCAGTCTGTATCATTTTTCAGTCACAACCAGTTTGGATTTTTTTGTGTTTTTTTGTTTGTTTGGGGTTTTTTGATTATTTTTTTTTAAAGTGAAAGCATACTTTTCTGTATTTTATTTGCAGGCTAGAGATAAGTTTAGCACAACCTGTTTCAACAGTGTGGTGAAAGCAATAAAAAAGAATATTTGACTTAATGGCTTGTTAGCAAATGATTAAGCTTGGAAAGAATAACATGCATTTTCTCTCCCAAGATTCTCCTGTAAATATATTTGATAATTGATATTCAACTGAATACTCCCACCTAATTTATTTTTTAAAAAATGAAGTAATCCCTACCAATGAATTAAAACATTAAGTCAGATTCCTGGAGAGCTCATCAATGTTTTCAGCCATGAAATTTTTCTTCAGGAACTTACTTGCATAAAGGATGTTTTCTTTATTTTGTGATCTGGTCCTTTCCGTGAACTAAAACTTTCCGTCTATTGATTTTTTTTTTGAATGCAAGGGGAAGTTAGTAATAAATGAAGGAAAATAGCAACATATTGCAGAAATTAGTGATTGAACTGATACAAAATTCATAACAGCTCTTTGAGAGATGCAGAACTTGAGAATTTGTAGAACTTAAGGCTTTGATACCATTCTCCTGATTTATGCTGTAGTATTTTAAACTTAATACTGATAACATAAAATGAATTTGTGTTGAATTGCTTATGGTTTCTGTATGGCAGAAACATTGATAAGGGTGCTGGCTACATACAAAAACAGGTCTAGAGAGGAAAAATCAATGAAAGAAAGGCAAAGAATTCTCCCATCAATTGTTTTATCAAATAACTGTGAATATTAAAGCAAGAAAAAGACAAAGAAGAGAAAGAGGCAAATAGCTACTTAGATGGACATGGACAGTAAACTAATGGTGTGGGTAAAAACATATTTACAAAAATTCTAGTTTTACCTTTTCTCCTCCTCTTTTGATGTATGGCAGCTCATTAGTGGAAAAAGCTTGCAAGAAGCTGCTTTTCTGGATCAGAATGTTCCATCTCAGTCGTTGGCAGCACATGCCATCAAACTGGAGTATAGAGATATGGCATCTGTCTACTTTATATTGCCTGCCAGCAGGAGCATTGATGGAGTGAAAGTTTAAGATGACTATAATTTGTTGCCTCCCAGTTATCAAGAGCATCAGTCTTTTCAGTGTCTGGCCTTTTCTTTGCACAAAAGCAGTTTTTCAAGTTTCTCAAAAAGGCAAGGCATATACTATTTTGAAAATACTCAAATAATGACTTTCTGTTATAACAACAAAATATAGTCCTGTTCACAATATTTTAATTTTTAATTATATTTTTTAAATTACACTCTATAATGTCTGTTTTTTACCTCCCTCCCCTCATGCAGGCTGCCATGTTTTATTATTAACTTTGCTAATAAAATACATTCTAAGGTGAGGTGACAACATAAATAATTGCAAGGTAACAATCTACTTTGCACTGCAGTTTTGCACAGTAGGTGTTTACAGCCTAAGCAAGCATATTGAGTAACTGAGGTTCTTTCCCTGCCTTGCAACTCCCCCTCTTCGCAGCTGTGCAACGGAGGTTCTGTCACAGAGCTTGTCAAAGGCCTGCTGAAGTGTGGCCAACGCTTGGATGAAGCTATAATCTCATACATCTTATATGGTGCTCTCTTGGTAAGGATGTTCATTGGGCTTGTAATGACAGCAGAGGGTGCAGTTTACTCATCTCGTACATACGTTTTCCATTTATAATGCTGGCAATATTATGCGGGCTATTAGAGCAGCAGGGGTTATATCAAGCATGTAATCCGGTGGACAGCTGTTTCTATAGAGTATGTGCAGAGTGTCTTCATTACAAACTCTAATAGTAGGGTAACTGCTTTTAAATAAGGGAGTAAACTTGTTTTTGTTACTGCTGGTATATAGGGCCTTCAACATTTACACAATAACCGGATCATTCATCGTGATGTGAAAGGGAACAACATTCTCCTGACAACAGAAGGTGGAGTCAAGCTCGTTGACTTTGGTAATGACCACTTCCCATTTGTTTTCCTGATACGCGCAGTTTAGCCAGAGGCATCTGTTTATTTTCCCCTGGGAAGGCAAAATGCAATCGAGAGAGGCTTTTTCAGAAGGATACTCAGAATTATTCTGAGAAGGAAAAACGGAGAAGAAACCTGATACAGCAAGAGCAAAAATTCTAACCAAAAAAATCAGTAACAGACTTCTAACTTAAAAGCTTAAACATAATAATTTAATAAATAGAAATAGTTCTGAAGTTACCATTTTATTTACAAAGCTTTTTTGCATTTCATAAGGAATGTCGATTTCAGGGCAGTTGTCCTCCTAATTTAAATTTAGATATTCTATCTTTTGCATATGAAAAGGAAACATTCTTCTCTCTGAAATGGGTTTTGCTAGCCTTAAGCATATTTTTCCCTCTAAGCAGAAGGTAAAATGGTCCCTTGGGTCCAAAACCCAACATCCATTTAATTTGTGATTATTACTGTTAGATTTGAGCATTGCCAGTCTGGAAGTGTCATAAGAAATGGAAGACAGACAAACAGACAGACAGATAAGAGACTTGGCAATATGATTTAACGTAGTTTAGCAAATTTTTTTTAAACATGCACTTAGAAAAATAAGAAAAGACTGTAGTCTCTCAGATATGTATGCAGTGGAATGGATAATTCTATTAAAGGTAACAGAAATAGATTATTAGTAATATGATTTATTAATGAAACCACATAATGCATAAGGTAATTGTCATTGAGAATAGTGTTGTGTGAATAACAGATGTTTGCTGAGCAATGCATGAAGGTAAAGAAAAACGTTTACAAAATGAGATGGGCGTAAAATGATGTGTCAAAAAATTTTTAAAAATCCAAAAATACTGAATTTATGCAGTGGAAAATTTTTAATACTGATGTTGTGATATTTTGATTTAGTATAAAAATCTATTGAAGATGCTAAAGAGATCTGGGAAACAGGAGACTCTTTAGTGTCTTTTAGGGACAAAACATCATTATGTTGAGTGGTAAAGGCAACAATTAAAATAGTGCTGGGAGAAACATATGGCCTGAAGCAAAACTTGGAGTGAGTCCCTGACCTACTAGGGAGGAAGATCCCTTCTCATTAGGGGGAATTCTGGCAGTATGATCTTTCTTTGTAAGTACTCCAGTCTGGAAAAAAAATTGGCTTTTCTCCCCAAAGCAAACCATTTTTATCCTGCAAACCATTTTTTACCTGCAATGGAAGCTCAGCTTGGAGCTCGGGCTCCCAGAGGCCAATCCATGTGCTGCCACTGCCAAGTGGCACATTCAAGGAAATTGAGAATCCCAGCCTTTCTTGTGTCCCATGGGTGTCTCTGATTCAACATTTAGTTGGGGCTTTTCCCCCCTAAAGTTACCACAATAACCCTATAAAGTTGCTATTAACACTAGAATATGACTAACACAGGAAAAGGCAGTTAAATCTCAAGTGTCGCCTAACACTTAATGGTTAGGAACTGCCAAGAAATGCCCATACATGTGTGGGCCTCCTGGCTAAAGAAGCATCAGGCACCAAGCGTTCATTACGTTCCCGTTTACCCCCTCCAGCCCACTGCTGTAGTCTCAGAAGGAGCTCTGGGAACAACTTAGGACTGAGTCACAGGTGACACTGTTTGTAGGACTGTTCGTCTTGTTGGTTGCAGAAAGTGGAAGACACATAGTGAAAAATACAAGGAGTTCGGGAAGGGAAGGGACTCGCAGTTCAGATGGTTGAAAGGCATCAAATTGGAGACAATTCTTGCTTCTGTGGGTGTTTCTCTGTGATGTTGGCATGTCACTTGCATCACACTTTTTAGAAGTTGCCACTCTGTTCCTCATTTTCCCAAGAGCCAGTCTGAGACATCTTGTCCTCCTCTGCAAAAGAGCTACAGTGTTCTTGAACTGCAGCTGAGATCTATTACAGCTCTACTTAAAGCATGTGGAGTGCCTGAAATCTGAAAGATCTCAGATTAAGTACCCCAAAACAGTGAATGCTTTGGATATTTTTAGGTTAATTCCTGGAACTAATAATCCTCTCCCATTTTGCAGGAATGTTAAGGAGGTTTATGGTGTGATGAGAAGGGAAGGAAATGTGTTGAAAGGAAAAGAAAATAATTATTTTAAATTTAATATAGAATTGGATATACCAAATAAGTAACTGCAACTCGAATTGAGACGAGGCTAAAAAAAGAATATTAAATTAGTACCTATTCGGTGATCACTATCAATTCTGTCCATGGAATGAAACAGAATCCAGAATGAAAAAAAAGAAGTTACTTCATATTCAAGGCTGCACATATGGATATTAGGTCACAGAGAGGATTACACGGATAGCTTTAATTGAGCCTCTCTCTTTTTGCCTTTATTGCATGACTTTACAGCTTACTTCTTCGATGTAACACACATTTCTTCCCTCAACTGCTCTCGACAGCATGATACATTTGTGTAAGTGTTGGTCACAGTGTAAGTTGACCCAAAATGTCTGCAGCTTATCATTCATTTATGCTTGTGCTCCCTCACTCTCTCCCACTCTCTCCCTTTCTCAGCGTGTTGGTGTTCTGTACTGTTTCAGAGTGTCTGCAGAGAGGAGCTAGAAATTAAGCTAGTTGGAGAGAGATTAGAGTTAAATGCACAGAGGCTTGCTGTAGGTCCTAGGCATTAACTGTTTCACAGCGCTACTCAGGACATTACTGAAGGCTTGCAGTTACACCAAGAAATGGAAAATAAATGCAGAACTGAATGTTGGAGCCAGCAATCGGATTGTTTAACTTAAGAATTATGACTCACAATTTCTTATTTATTGGCATCGGGCAATATATATTATATGCGTGTCTGTCCGTTTCCATCTCTCAGTAATGCTATAGGAGCAGAAACAAGTTTAACGTGAAGTATGTTTTTAAATCAGTATTGGGTTTGTGTCAACTTACTGTAATGCTCCTGGACTCTAAAATTCAATTAGATTTTGACAAGAGCAGAGAAGAAGATTTGCTGTGAAAGTTCATTGTGGTTGTTAACGTTGTTTGACTTTAGTTCTTTCTTCCTTTTTTCAGCTATGCTTCGGCAGTCCAGTCCCAGGCAGCAAAGCACTGAAGCACAGGTTCTGTTTTAAACATCTGCTTAACTCCCTAAGTACAAGCTGAGGTGTGAGCTTGAGCTTCTGTG